CAACCAATAACGAGAGGATAAGCCGGGTGCAGTTAATTCAACAACCCCATTAGGGTCATTGTTCCTAGTTTCGGACACACAACACACATCAATACCCAGTGTGTCCAAGATGCGTACGAGTGCAGCCTGTTGACCTGTTGTCTGAGTGCGAACATTGAATGTCGCCATGGAAACGGGACAGCGTGGCCTTATAAGGGACTGTTCACGATAGGCGTCCGGTGCGTGTCGCGAGAAGGTGGCTGCAGGTGGTTCTACTCCAGTGGCACTTCGGTTGCTGTCAATTAAGCTGGGAATTATAGAAGGAAGGTTAGTAATGGGGGTCGGGATGGGAGTAAGAGAAAAAGGTGGCAAAGAAAGAAGGGAGGCGCCAGCAGTAGCATGTTTTCGCTTATCTGCCTTGCTGTATGCAGCAAATAAAGCGACCCTTGATAATCTGCGCGACGGCCGATGCAGGATGTAATTGGAGTTTGGGGAAATTGTCATGGTTGTATGTGGGCTGAGATAGTGCCAGGGTGCTCAGACTAAGATAAGAGGACGATTAGGGTCCTCATCCAAAGCCTATGGCTCAAAAGCCTGTCCACACTGCAGCGGGGAGGGGGCAATGATTTGTACAGAAACGGACGCCATCCAATTTCAAACCCCCAACCTGGAGGACCAGGAGACTGAGTTTGTCTGACCTCTCACCATTGACCAACCTGGTAGGAGTAGCTCTCAAGATGCCCGGAGACCACCTAGTATAGCTCAATGGGTCAAGGAGGTACGCAAACCGTCGCACCACCTTAAGGTCCAGTCTCGTTGCGACGGAACATCTCCGCTACTGCCTATTGGAGTATGTCAACCAGCGGCTTGACAATGGCAGTACGCACGTCGTCAGGTCTAGCCTACTGTGTATCTAAGCCAGCCAGTACCACGAAGACCGCTGCAGTAAGCGGAGTAGCCAGCATTGTGCTGTTATTTTGACAAAATGAAGGTGAGAGCATAGGAAGCCTATCGTCCCTACCATGCGCCATTTGAAAAACACCAACTAATATGCCGCAATACAAAGACTATTCTAGAAGTTATAGACTACAAAAGCAATTAGTTTAAGCTTGTATATCCTGTTCTGCATTTGGGACGGCCAGGGGCACGCAAATCAGTCACTTGGTGGCAGTTCATCGGTCACTCGCACTGGCTAGGCATACGATGTCATTGAAAAGAAGCGACGTATAGATTATGACCGGTGGCGTTATTGACGCTTTATATGGTGTAATATTATGTTTCTGCGCTTCGTTTTGCCTTTCCTTATTTTCTTCTCTCTGCGATCCACCGAAACCACACTGAACTAGGACCGGTGGCCATCCACCTCCCCCCTGGGCATGTTACTTGGAGCACCGTTCGCCCATAAAACTCTCACAGGTTTTCACATTCCTATTTATTTACCTCATGCTTCTCAAACGTACTATTTCTAAGGTATCAAGCACGGGACTGTATGCTTCAAAATCTTTCATCAAACCTGACTTACATTGCGCCAAGTCGGCCGACAGCACTTGCTATCACTTCCACTTGACCTTGATTTATGCTGTCCCTAAAACCGTTGCGTTTCAAACATTCGACCACTTGTCATTCCAGTCTTTCGGGTTACTCAACCTATAACTAAAAGTGCTATTCCAATCTAAACAGTCCAACCTAATCTCGTATGAACACTGTATATACCTGCTTGCACGCAATCCGCTTTAAACGCCTCATTATCGAAACCGGTGGTGTCGGATGACATGCTACTTTTTTGTTTCCTTCCACACTTCTGGCTACTACCCCAAGCAAAGGCTCTGAAACCCTTGCACATTTCACAGGTTTAATTCTCCATCGCGACGACACTGGACCTTAACCTGGTGCAATGATGTGCATACCTCAGCGATCCATTGACCTATTCTGGGTGGTGTTTTGGACCCTCAGAGCCACTCATACCAGGTTGGTCAACAGTTAGAAGCCAGACAACCTCGGTTTCCTGGCTCTCTAGGTCGGGGGTTGGTGTGAGGGTGACTCCTTACTCCATAAAACGGACTCTGCTTTGCGTTGAGGCTTTTGTACCAAAGGCTTTGGTTGGAATCCCAATTGTTCTCCTGTCTAAGCCTGGGCAACCTGACAGTATTCTGCCCACGCAGTACAATAAACCTTTCTTTAAAAAGTTTTCTTTGATGCTCTGGTCGTCGCAGAGGATAAACAACGGCACTCTATCTTCTGCATCGGGCAGTGCGAATAGAGGTTTGGATATTACTGCTCACGCGTTCCCGTCCTCTTATTACCCCTCTTATGCCTTTTCACTGTTACCGTCCCGCTCCAACTTCACTTTTCTCCCCCCTGTTTTCAACCCCCAATTCTTGGCTTTCCCCATCTTGGTCCAGTAATCGTTTATCTAGTTTGGGCTCACACGCAACCGCAGAGCGTTGCTCCGGTCCAGTTGACAAATCCTTGTCCAACCCAACGGACGTCAGTTCCTCGGCTTCTCTTTTGAGTCCTCGATTCTCTACACAACTGACATCCTTCAATCTGCACACTTTATTACATTTTTGTGGAGAGTGGCCAAGTCTTGAGGAGGGAAGACCAAGCGATGATTTGATCTAAATGAATGAAATCCCTCATTTCGAACTTATCTTCGGCTGGTGTTTCCCGACCGCCTAGCCGGGGTCCGAAGTACAATGAGCAAGTTTGGTTGAATACACTGGCTGACATGGCGAGGAGCCGACCTTAATGGCGTTTGTGTTGTGAGTCACTTTGTTCCTCCCCTCCTCTTTAGCTTCCTCCTCCAACAACTATCTCAACCCAATGCATAAGGTGCTTTCAGCATTGTGTCACTTTATTGGCTTCTGTAGTCTGTACTGTTTAATCTCTCATTTTTTGCATTGCGACAGCTGTGGTGTGTTTCTCACCTTCGACTAACATGTATTGATGGTGATGTGGCACGCATTTGAGTGGACAGACCTCAGTGGCACTCCCCATAACACGTTAGCAACGATTGGAATTGACATTCGGCTCAGTCACATCGTCCATCAGTGACAACTGCTTACTTAGCTTGTCAGGAGTTACTGAATAGCGGATGTGCATCCAGATTACAAGTGAAACACTTAGCTATTAGACCTTTTTTGCAGCCGGATGAGTTAGCCCCATGTGCGCGCACCAGGCACGTATTCCCAATAGGCTGAGTCTAAAATGATGTGCGTCCTCTGTTGCTGATAGCAGTATGATCTAGATGTAGAGCACCGTGGAATTAGACGAGCGCCTTGCAGAGCGATGCGGACGTTTGTTTTGTAACTCAGTGCTACTACTATGTAGTTCGTGGTCATCACACAATTGCAGAAATATCTCGCCATCACTTGTTCTTTCAACGACCTCGAAGTGGACTAGGCGGAGTACTGTAGGTGACTCATTTTAGCGTTGCTATTACCATAAACAATCACGATATGCTATATTTTCCCCATACCGATAATTTGAGCGCTATCGGTAGAATTCGTTTTTGATGGCCTACGAATTGCAGGTGTTCGAAGCATACAACGAAACCATACAACAGTACCTTGTCTTCACACGGTATTTGTCAACCCTGATGAAAGTTTGTTGTCAATCAGCGTATGTGCGACTGTTCACTGGCATCCATTCAAATTGCTTACCTTAAGTATAACTGCTGAGGGCAATATCGACATCATAACTGCCTTGACTTATCGACTCGGTAGTATCAGAGACCTAGCATAGAAACTGTTTAATCAGAGCTTTACGACGCTGTTATTCTATGCGCATGTTTCGTGGACACGGTACACATCGATCCTAAGATAGCATTGTCCGTAAAGCCCAACTGTTCATCTGTCCCAAAGTTCTGGCGTCGACGAAACCAATGCCAATTGAAACCGTTGGCATGAAAGACATTTTAGACGTATCCTGCCCACCGGTGGCGGTCAGTGTAGTCACTTGCTCGAAGCCGAAGAGGAGTTATAGATGAATCAAATGCTAAATAGAGAGAGTACTAGTGACGGTCGGCCGGTGACCGAGTGGTCTGTACGTTTGTTTTGCAACCATATCGTCATCGGTTCGAATCCGCGTAGGGGTGGGCGTCCTCGCGGTATACTCAGCCCGCGCGCGACTAGTGGTGGTCGCGCGGCAGCGAAGCGCCGTTACGGCGTACAGCTGACACATTATTATTCTTTATCTATTACTAGTGACGGGTTCTCGTGGGTATATATTACTTTCCAACTGCACATTCCGCCAACGAGGTTTTATTCTAGATGTCCTATTCCAGGCATCAGTAATACACCGGTGCGCAGTATTGACGGTTCGTTGCTGCGCAACCACCACCAGTCGCACGTGAGCTGAGAATAATGCGAGGTTCTCCTGGTCCCCTACAGAGGCTCAAACCTGAGACCTTAGGATTACGAGACAGGCTTATGATCCTTTAAGTCACGGGCCCTATTCCTGTCTTTTGACTCAACCTGATCCGCAAGACTTTACGGTTC